TACTACAAGCTCACTACTTAGCTCGAATGAGTCGAGTTCTAGACTGAATTGCCGACAGGACCGATACTACAGTCTTGTCGCGTATTAGCAAAATATCTAAGATAAGACGCCTACATACAGGCGTTATTATATTCTGTAAAACAAGCGTCTCTATAGTCTCTATAGTCTCTATAGTGGTGGGCATATAACACCCCCCGGGTTAGACGGAAGATCATTATCCTACTTTTAAACAATTATTTTGGGTAATGATTTTCCTTTTCTTATTTTAAGTTCATCTTGGTTTTGTTTATTTTGTTCCGTCGAACTCGGTTGGTTTACATTGACATTTTTAATTTTCTTAAAATTAAATATTTTTTTTATTGTGATAATTGACAGAATAATTATTAGTAAACAACATAGTATTATTAAACCAATAACATAATAGTTTATATAAATTGAAGATTGCTTATAATCTAAATTATCTTTTGGGATAGTGACTTCATTATCATCTTTATACTTTGAAAATACTACTTCTGGGGATACATATTCTTTTATTGTGTTAACATTATGTATATATTTAGTTAAATTCATAGTTGGTATGAAATCTGATTTTAATTCTGAATAAATTGTTCTAAACGGAATCATGCGATAACCTCCTGAAATTGCGGAACATTGTTCGCTTAGTGATAATATTCCTGATCCAGTTAATACTTCTGTTATTGAATCTTTATTGAAACACGTTAAAATTACATTTTGGTTTGTTACCGTGAAAATCCACGAGTTTGAAGACATAAGTTTATGAAAAATCCCATGTTTAAATGAAGTGTATTTTATTTTACAAAAATCTGCTAATTCTGTAATATCTGAGTAAGAAATTAAATTTATTTCACATTCGTTAGATGTCACTACCCTTTTGGCTAAAAAGTTTTTACAAATTTTAAAACGGTTTTTATCAGTACACAAACTAACATCGTTTTCGGTTAAGTTAATAAAATATTCCTGATCAATAGTTATGGCTATAAACTTAAACCTAGGTTGTATAAACATAAATCTATTATTTTCTAAATATACCGGGTTTGGTAGAACATTATATAGTTTATACATGTTACTTAATACTAAAGGAATCATATTGATGAATATAATTAAATCATTACTTTTAACGATTGTAGTTTGCATTATTCTATACAGTTCAGACATACCAGATACATCTAATTTTGCAGGAATGTTTACAAGTTAATATGTGAAATATATTATATTATTATTATCTTTATTTTTTATGTATGATTTTAATATTTATTTTTTATTTTTATTTTTTTTTTTACACTTAAATTTAATTATACAAAATGATATTATATTATCTTTTTTTTTTTTTTATGGAACACACATTTTAAGTTCGTTTATGTGTATTTTCACTTTTTTTCGTTCTTTTTGTATTGTGACATTTTCAGTGTCTTCTAATTGAGTAACCAAATACGGTCCAAGCCATTTAGGACTTAATTTGCCTTTCGGTTGGTGATTTTTTATCCAAACTCGATCTCCTACATTGAAGTTAATTTCATGTCCATTTTGATCATATGTTTCTTTGGATTTTTCTTTACTTAATAATATATTTTCTCGAGCTTGTTTGTGTGACTCTTGAAGTTTTTGTTTTAACTCGAAGACATAATCGTCGTAGTTGTATCTAGGTTGAGGAGTTCTGCTTAATGTATGTGGTATTGAGGCAGGGAATCCATATATTAATTCGTATGGTTGGTGTTTGGTTGTTGTATGTACTGTAGTGTTGTATACAAACATTGCATACGGTACATAGTCATCCCAGTCATCAAGATGTTTATCGACATAATGTCGAAGATAAGCGGCTAACGTTTGATGTGACCTTTCAAGTCCACCATTAGATTGAGGATGATATGGTGTCGTGTGCAGTTTATCTATTTGCAATAGCTTACAACAGGCAGCAAATATTTTACCCATGAATTCTGTACCACAATCTGTTAAGATTGACTCCGGTATTCCATGTTGGCATACAAAACCTTCAACGAATGCTTTCGATACCGAATTTGCATCATGAGATACTAACGGATATGCAGCAGAAAACTTCGTTAAATCGTCTTGTAGTGTCAATATATAATTATTTCCTTTTTTAGACTTGGTAATTGGTCCAACAATATCTAGGAATATACGTTCAAATGGTTTGGAAGATGTAGTTGTTATAACCATGGGTTGTTTGACGGTTTTATTAAGGGTTTTATTTCGCTGGCATGATTGACATGACGATATAAAATTTTGTACATCTTTTTTCAATCCTTTCCATGTATGTTGTTGTTTAATTCTTTTGATTGTTCTGGAAATTCCTTGATGACCTCCAAGTGGTGAATTGTGAAATTCTTCGATAATCTTATATTTATCTTCTTCTGTATATGTGTCATCAATGAACACTAGTATTTTGGTTTCAGATCCTTTAAAATGGAATCGAATCATTGTGCGTATTTCAGACCAATCTAATTGGTCTATTCCACAAGATATTTTTGGTAAAGCCAGTTTTTTTATTTTATTTGAATCGCAGAAAGTTCGTAAATTTTTTAAAGTTAAAAACATTTTTTCATTCGAAGGTTTCTGCCAATGTTTTTCTTTTGTAATTAGGTAAAGAATAGTTTTTCCATTTACTTGCAACGATGCTATTTCTGTTACCAGTTTATTTTGATTTTTAAGCTGTTTAATTTGACCATATTTTCTTCTAAATTCGAGACCTATCCCTTTTTTCATACAAAAATCTTGAGAAACACAATGTCCTAATGCATATTCATCTGCAGCATCGAATAAATTACCCGCTGTTTCAGTAACATTATTGTTTATAATGACACGTTGAGATATTTCTTCTAGAAATTTCTTATATTCGCTAGTCGATTGAGGCGTAATTGCCGAAGTAGTAGAAACTGCTATTCTGCTAAGAGCGTCAGCATTTGTGTTCTGAACTCCTGGTTTATAAATGACTGTATAGTCGTATTCTTCTAGCAGAAGTCGCCACCTAGTAAGACGAGCTCCTGGATCTTTAACTCCAAACATCCACGATAGAGGTTTGTGGTCCGTTATGATGTTAAATTTTCGACCGTAGATGTAAGGACGAAATTGTTTAACCGACCAAATTATTGCCAACAGCTCCTTTTCAGTGGTATTATAATTAATTTCAGCTTTATTTAATGTGCGTGATGCATAGGAAATTGGCAAGTCTGACCCAATGTTTCCTTGCGATAATATTCCTCCTATTGCACAATTACTGGCATCTGTTGTAATATTGAAAGGTCGAGAAAAGTCAGGAAATTGAAGTATTGGTTCCTTGGTCAATATGGTTCTGAATGTTTGAAATGCGTCTTCACAGGCATCCGTCCATATAAATTGTTGATCCTTCTTTAGTAAAGATGTTAATGGTTTTGATATTTCACTGAAGTCTTTGATAAATTTTCGATAATGACCTATTAATCCAAGAAATGATTTTAGCTCTTTAGCATTTGTTGGAGTGTGATAATTAGCTACACATGATATTTTTTTTGGATCTGGTTTTATACCTTCATCAGTTATCAAGTGACCAAGATAACTTACTTCTTTACTTAAGAATTGACATTTCAGTGGTTGAAGTTGCAAATTATATTTACGAAATCTTTTAAATACATCTCGTAAGTTATTTTCGTGGTCTTTAATAGATGTTCCAATAACGATTACATCATCCAGGTAAACAAAAGATTTCACACCGTTGAGACCAATAAGTAACTGGTTCATAAGTCTTTGAAAAGTTGCCGGAGCTCCTTTTAGTCCAAAACACATCCTATTGAACTCAAAATGGCCCTTTTCGGTGCTAAAACCGGTTTTTTGTCTGTCTTCCGGTCGCATTGGAATTTGATGGTAACCACTCGCCATGTCCAAGCAAGAGAAATATTTTGCATTTCCCAATTGATCTAAGATTGTATTGACATCTGGCATTGGGAAAGCATCTCCCACAGTAAGGTTGTTTAATTTACGGAAATCAACTACAACTCTGTATTTTTGTTCACCTGAGTCATCGATCTTCTTTGGCACTACTAGCAATGGAGCATTCCATGGGCTATCACTGGGCCCAATTATTCCATCTTTCTCCAATTTTTCAATTTGGTTATCTATTTCCTCTTTCTGTGAATATGGAAGTCTATAAGGTCCTTGATAGATGGGTTGTGTTGTTCCTGGTGTTCTTATTTCATGATATACAGCGTCTGTACATGTGATTTTATCTCCTTCGAGAAAAAATATATCAGAAAATTCACTGCATAATTCTTCAATGGATACTTTTTCTTCAAGATTCATATGATCTGTTTTGAGAAAGTTCTTTAGAAGTTGAATCCGATTTTGTTCATTTTTTGTTACCTTATTAGTATGTATAAAATGTTTTATTGATTCTTCATTTATTATTTCGTGTGATAACTCTGTTAGTTTTGGTGTAGGTACCACAATCTGAGTTTCTGTTGGGTTAATTATACTTATGAGAATCTGATGATTTTTTACTTTATTTAATATATTTCCACATATTATTTCATTATTTATATTTTGAGCGTAAACTAGTATGCTCTGATGTTCTTGAATTTGTAGATCTGACACATCTGCTGGAATAATTGTTTCACATCTAGCTGGAATAGTTGTGACGTCATCTAATTTTGATGTAATTTCCCCTTTTCCTACGTCAATGACAATTTGATTCTCCGTTAAAAATGGTTTTCCCAAAATACCATCGCCCATAATTGGAAAATTTGTCGGAACTACATGAAATTCACTTTCGGAAGATTGATTTCCATTTATGACTGTCAACATTGTAAATCCCAGGGTCTTAACTGTTTGATCATTTATCCCCTGTAACATGAATATTTTTGTGTCTGATACTTGAACATCATCGTGAAGAGCGCCTAGTTTTATTAAATTAAGATCAGCTCCTGTGTCTACAAGTAGCTTTACGATATATTTTGTACATTGTGGAATTTTATATAAAGCATGATTATCAATTAATTTGATTTTGAATGACAAGGTTCTTGCAGGTTTAAGGCTATTGTTTTTAATGTTTTGACCGATTGGTTGCCCGAGCCACTCGGTCTTGGCCCGTTTCCCGAAAACTGTCCATTGGATTTATTTGTTTTTTTCTTTTTGTAACATACATCTTCGGAGTGTCCCGGTTTATTACAATAAGCACATGTTATCTTTTTCACATCTTTATTATTTGGATTTGAATGTACTTTTGATTGAAAATTTTGTTGGCCAGTATCTTGACCGCGATTTCCATATCTGCATTGATTTGTAAAATGATTATTACGATTGCAAATTTCGCAATACTTTTGATTGTTATTTCTGCCTTGGTTTCCTCCTTTAAGTATTATTTGAGTCTCTTTTGATGATTGATAAATTTTCTGCTCTTCAAGACTTGCCTTCATTGCATCTTCCAGTGTTTCAAAGTTTCTTGATTTAATCACTGTTCTTAAATGAGGTAATAATCCTTCTACGTACGTCGTTAAAGTAATTTCTTTTATATATGTACGTATTGCTGTGGCATCTGTGGTTGATTTTCCCTTTGTGCTCACATTACATAATTCATTGAGTAGATTTTCAACCTTTGTAGAGTAGTCATGAACTGACTCTCCTTGAGACTGTCTTGTTGATGTAAGTTCAAGTTGTAGATATCCTGGTGTACGTTTAGCACAAAAGTTTGATTCGAGTAAATGTTTAAGTCCTGCCCAATCTTCTACATCACGATGTTGAGTTATCGCAAAAGCTTTTTTACTTAATTTTGTACGAATAGCTTGTAACAAAACTGGCTTTATGTTGTTATCGACATTAGACATTACGAAATCACATGCGCTAAGATAAGGATAGATATCAGCTGAATCTTCACCATTGAAAAAAGGAACCAATTTAATGGCTGTTTCTAATGAAAGAACTGTATTGTTCATTTTGGAAATGGTACACGAATTATCCACCCCCAAACATTTTAAACCGAGTAGTTAGGTATTTTTATTTATTTGTTTTGGTGTATTTTCTTCACCTATTTGATCCGAAGGTACTGAAGTTGAAATATTTCCCCTAGTATCAGAGAATAATGATTCTACACTTCTAGATTTCCTATGGTATCTTTTATTTTGGTGTGCTCGTGACCTAGTATTTGGGCCAGTATATTTTAAATTATCGTCAAAGTTATTTGATATAGGAGTATTATAACCTTTATTTACTGTAGATGTATCTGGGCTCCTATCACTGCTACTATTACCACTACTTGATTGAGTAGACATACATTAAAAGTGTTAGTTTGTTATTATAGTGTATAATAACAACAAAACAAAACGACAATAATAATAAAAAAAATTACAATTATGTTACTATATCAGTAGGTCAAGATAAAATAAAAAATACAGTAATTTTATTCTATTATTCAAGTTAGTGATAATAATATTATTATAATATAAAAATATTTATGTTATTATTATTTTTTTTTTTACTTACAGTATGACAGTCTTTGTTATTACTCCGAACTGCATAATAATTGACTTCTTTGACAGATTATCTGGATCCCTTGTTGAACTCGCCACGTCTCTCGGTGTCGTTCCCACGTAGTCTTCAAGTTATTTCGTTTGAAGTTCTACGCTCCGAAACCGGTATGCGCGGAGACCACACTGGTGGGTTTTGTTTAACTTGAACGATTAATTAATTTCTGTTTACTAATTAATCGATGTAGACGAGATGTAGTGTAGCTTATCGTATAAATGTGCGTATTGGTATTGACAATAGGCGTTGATTGTGTATTTATAATGACCGATAAAATATGGTGATCCCGTTTTTTACGTAGTTGGTATAAAACAAGTAGCACCTCCTACGGTGTATTTGTAGATGCGTGTGACGTAAATATCGGGGACTATAGAATAGTTTCCTCACCAATCTTTAGGTAAAAGCGCCTCCGTATGAATATATTCACTCGTGTTCACTTTTTTTTTATTTATAATAATTATTTGAATATATCACTCACTAGACAGAATTTCTTTCACAGAAAAGAAAATGAAAACGGCTACCGCTGCCACCAATGTTATGAACGCCACTGCGTATGCCTGTGATGTTCTGTTATATTTTATATTGTGTCTCTGGTTGTATCCGAAGACGACAATTTGTTGAAACCGTTCTCTGTGTAGCGGGTGATAATCAAATGTTGTTTAATAGTTTATTAATAAAAAGAATACACGTTTTAGATTTATATGAGACTATTATACTTTATTAGTTTTAAAAAAATATGATTTATACTACAAGCTCACTACTTAGCTCGAATGAGTCGAGTTCTAGACTGAATTGCCGACAGGACCGATACTACAGTCTTGTCGCGTATTAGCAAAATATCTAAGATAAGACGCCTACATACAGGCGTTATTATATTCTGTAAAACAAGCGTCTCTATAGTCTCTATAGTCTCTATAGTGGTGGGCATATAACAATTTGTCCTCGCGATTTTTTGACAACCTCTAAACATACAGGGATAAGCTTGATATATTCTGAATCAGGCCGATCTCTTGGTTTGTCCGACGAAGAGCTTTTTCTAAAATTTAAATTGGTTGACTTTCAAAAGACAACTGCGGTTGATACCCATTGATTAAGTTATAACAATCAATAAAACATATATATTGATGGTAACTATCATTATATAATGTGTAGCCATAGAAACCAAGTCAATATTATTATTTTAAATTAAATAAATTAAAATAAAATACAATTTATAATTATAGTTAAATTATAAAACTTTTTTTAGTTAATTTAATTATATACATATAATATTAGTGAGTGGGGCACTACCCTACGATTTATCTCAGAAGTAATGAATATAAAATTATATCCCTCCCCCCCGCAATAAAATTCCTTTTACGCCTCTGCTGTTATTATAATGTTATTTTTTTTTTTTTAGGGCGATCCTCAAGAGCGACAAATTTATTATCATTTGAAGATATACTCAATATTTTAGTGATAAAAGTGATCTAAAAAATTAAAATATTAAAATAAACTCGTAATTTATTAGTTCATGATTTGTTCTCCATATGATTCCCACGAGTATGCATGATATAAAAGTCACATTGAGGTAGTGCAGCGTACCGCAGTGAAGGCTGCCATGATAGGCTACTGTGGAAGGTTGCCTGGTTCTCCACAGGGTCCTCATAGACACGTTTCACTGACCTCCGTGCCAAGTACTCCCCCTTCAAGAGTTGGGAGTTAAGGGTTTTTTTTATCATGGTTTTTCTTCCACTAGGGCATTCGCTCAGCGAAAGCAGGCTACCTCCAACCTACCGACCCCAGCTGGTTAAGGCAAGAGCGGCTCTTGAAGCTCTGACTTTAACTGGTTAAGGTCATAGCCGGGTTGGGACCGCTTGGTAAGACCTAATTAAAGGCCCACCACATCAAGGTGGGTCCCGACGGCGGAGATAATGTTATTTATTTGTAAATATGTTGCACAAAAACAGTTTTTTTTTTTGCTTCAACTGGGATTTCTAAGTTTTCGAGAACAAAAGTTTGAAAGGAAGTTTAAAACACCGGTGGCAGCCGAAATTGTTACGATAATCTATTAATTATTCATTATGAATTATATTGATAATTCAATTAAAATCTACCTTCGGCCTTGTTATTATGAAAGTATAGTTAATAATTATATTTGTGCTGGGCATTGATGAGTATAAAAGATAAAGTTAAGTTAAAAATTTAGTTTCTTAAAAGTTTTGAGTTTCTGTAGATTTAAATATTAATAAATATCTAATTAACTATTCTTTATAGTACTTACGCCCACCCCTTCCCACATCTCACGGAATACGAATCCTTGCCCTGGTTGTGAAAATACCTGATTGTAATGAATTTAAAAAAAAAACTAATAATTCCAGAACTAATATTGTCTTTTATTTTAAGATTAATTAGACGATATTTTATGTAAATAAGAAATAAAAAAGGAGCCTAAGACGACTGATTCTTGAGTTTAATATAAATAACATGTAGCTACTGTAATGATATCTACATCATTGCGACCATACAGCTTCATGAATCAATATCATCATACTATTAAATACCACAATAAATGTCTGTACCCATGTAGGTACCAATTATATTACCCAAACTTATACACAACAACAACGTTCATACTCACTATGAAATCAAATGACAAAACAATATATAATAAATACTATTAAAACATAATAAATATCTGTAGCCATATACCATGATATTATTCAAAATATGTACAAAAACTATTAATCTACACTAATATTAAAAAGCTGAAGAGTTTGTTTGTTTATTTGTTTCAAAGTGCTAATCTCACGAACTACTGGTTTGAATTAAAAAATTATTTTTTTGTTGGATAGTCCATTCATCTAGGAAAGCTATAGGCTATACAATAACATCATGCTAATACCAATTAATAGAAGTGCTCAAACATTGATTTTGAAATTTACAATGGAAATATTTGTTGTTAAATGGTTGCTATTGATAATATGAGAAATAATTAATAGAAATAGTATTTTTTTATTATTGGTTGCTATGGGTTAATCAGAGAGATCAGATACAAGTAGTGATGGGTAAATACCCGGTAAATATATTTTTGGTAAATTCCCTAGTTATTTACCCGGTATTTAAAATAAATACCCGGTAATTTGGGTAATTACTTCAAATAAAAAATATTCAATACAATTTTGTTCATCAACGAACAAATGTTAAAAGTGTGGAGATCCAAGCCAAAATACCCATATTTAATTAAATACATTTCAAGTGGAAAGTTGGCTACATATTATTTTCAAAATATCATATTATTAATAAAAACAAAAAATTTTTTTTTAAAACTAGAAAAAAATAAAATTTTCATAAGCTTAGTGTTGTTATATTATCTAAAAGAAAATATAAAATACATTTTATTAAAAAAAACAAAAATATTGATTGAATAATAAAAAAAAATGTATTTATTAAACCAAAATACAAACAAAACATAACAAAATAAATTGTTCATTAGCTCCTTGCTGTTATAATATAATATAAACAAAATATAAAATGTATAATAAAGAAATAAAAATTTCTATAACCAGAATTAAAATTAAACATAACAAAATAAAATGTTCATTAGCTCCTTGCTGTTATAATATAATATAAACAAAATATAAAATGCATAATAAAGAAATAAACATTTCCATAACCAGAATAAAAATTAAACATAACAAAATAAATTGTTCATTGGCTTTTTGCTGTTAATTGTTATAATATGATACAAACAAAATATAAAATGCATAATAAAGATATCCAAATTTCTATAACCAGAATACAAATTAAACATAACAAAATAAAATGTTCATTAGCTCCTTGCTGTTATAATATAATATAAACAAAATATAAAATGCATAACAAAATAATAATTAATAATTATCCTCATCTTCTTTTTCTGAACATGAAACTGAGTTTTCATCACTACTGGTATCATTATATAAAATAGATGTTTCTGAATCTGAATCACAATCACTGTCTGAATCACTTTTTGAGATAATCATATTTTCATCGTTTTTTTCAGAGTTATAAGAACTCGATGAACTTTGTATTTCTTGTATAACTACATCTACAGAAGATTCTTCACCATGATTTGCTTCTGTATTTTTGGAAATTTCACTTTTTTATTTTTTAGCTTCCAATTGTAAGATAAGTATGTCAATTTCCCAGCTCTCTCTGTAGTTAATCTATTTCTTTTTTTGCTATGTATCCAAGGAAAAGTGCTGAATGTTCGTTCAGTAGCAGCAGAAGTACAAGGAGCAGTTAATATTCTTACTGCAACTTTAGATAATGGGGATATGAGATCTAAGAATTTCCACCACTTTACTGGATCAGTAATCAAAGAATTTTCCCAAATAAATTTTTTAGCAAAATATCCTTGCTTTGATTGATAATCTGAGAGATCATTTAT